TTACAATGCGGAACTTAATTATTACAAAGAATTTTTGAAACTGACATTCATCACTTAATTCTACTTTATTTCGTAATCATCATCAAAGTTTGTGGTTTCGACATTTATCTTGCTTTTCATTATGATAATAGTTGAGAACAATGTTGGTGGAGTAAGCAGTCCAGACAATTATCTGTATCATCATGACCCAGGTGTAACATTAGGCAGCAATCTGCGTGTACGAAATTGAAGTTAATTTTTGAAGGTCGAATGTGCATCAACTTTCGGCCTAAGAAAGATTTAGGTCATTGTTGTTTATCGCATAGTAAATTTTCTTCATGTCCATAACTTATGCGGTTATTTTGTCGCCGGCCAACTGCGGGTTAACTTCATTTAGCGTGCGATAATAATGCAAGAAAGACTCGATACTACTATCTGTAGGGGTATTTTCATAGATAGGAGGTTTCAGTGTGTCTGCTGCTGTATTGTAGTCTCAACCACTTCCTACTATATTGAATTAAGTCTAAATAACAATGTCATCAAACCTGATTGCCCTACTTCCTTCATATAAACCACTGACGAAGGCGTAGAGAATGTGCTCACAGGACAGTCGGAAGTCCAGAAATTTTCACAGTTGCATACTGCGTGTTCACAAAAAACCTTTCATTCCCATCACAGTCTGATGCTAAGTGATAATGATTGATCAGGGGTACTCCGTGCTAGTCTTTATAGTCAACGTCTGCGGCACAGGTAATAATTTTCCTAATTTTACCCTAAAGGCTGTCGGGCACTTATGCAGATGAAGAAGATTAGGAGTCAAAATGTTCAACCTACATTGCAAGTCGGACTTCTTCGGAGACCTCGTAGTCTGTCATACGGTTGCAGCCGAAGGTGTTTCTGAATATTCACATTTGCCTTCTAAAATGTTAACAGAAGAGGACCACCGAATCTTAAAGTCAACTTCATGTGTTTGTGGGCGTTTTCAACTCGGCTGTTGGTGTGATTGCCCAAGGTCAGCGTTTTACCCATGCAGCATTTTGCCCAAATGCATTGCTAGCTGATTCAGTGACCACATAAGTAAGCATAGGCTTCCGAAAATGTTTGACGCAAGTTTTGATGGCAGTATGAAAACCAGAAACATGTTAGGAGGAAAGAAGCGTCCTTCATAAAGTTTCTGGATTTCACCATTCTCTTCAGAATATGGTGAATTCGGCGACTTAGAAAGTGTTCTTTGACATTAAGACTCTAAGAAGTCTACCTTTCTACTAAACGCTCTTGTGACATGCAAGGAACAAACAGCAATACCAGCATTTGTAAAGGCTGATTCTACTGCAGACATCTCTGCTGGTGACCTGTCCATAATGAGCCTTCGTTTCATCTCTATTCCCCATGATGGACTGAAACATTCTTAAAATCGTAGTCACATCTGAAGGTCTCTAGTGTTTGTAGACACCGAACATTAGGCAATTCCCTGTGTCTGAACCATCCATTACAAAAGGTGGAAAAGAGGGTATATTTGGGATGATCATTAGTGAAGGTGGCAACTATCCCAGATTATTTGTTTTACAGATACAGTCCATGCAAATTATATCATTCAGCCTTCACGTCCTAAACTTGCAACATTATTTTATTATAACCACCATTACTGTCGTTTCAATCTCCCATCTTCCTCACAGATTGCAGTCTTCAAATATCATATACATGTACGATTGTTCTGCCTGAGAATGATTCGTTGAATAGATTCCTCATCAATGAATGTCTTGTTTTTGATGTCACAATGGGATTTATGAATTTAAAGAATGATGAGTGAAGTATGTGCTTAAACAACGTTAAAATGTGGATAGAATAATCAGTTCACCAGAAACAGGATGTAGGCTTCAGACCTCCAACTCTCAGTGAGAATATGAATGTAGTTTAAAAATCAACTTTAAGTTAACAACCAAGAACTGACGGTTTATTTGGATTTATGTTAATTTGAAGCTTCTTCCAGGGAGAATAATTTCAGAGGGAAATGGATAATAAAAAGTAATTTTGCTAACTCAAAATTGATTTTTGTATAAGGTACAATTTGCTAACTATAACAATGAAAAATAGTCCAATATGCACTGAATTCTCATTCATTTGTAGGATCCAGGATATCGATGTTGGAATGGAAATGGCCTCCACTGGATGACTGGAACATATGCCAGAGGATTAGTTTCTGAACAAGAAATAGCACCATCACCAGTAGAATTCACTGGAAACTTTTTTGAATGGATTTTAAAAGTATATAAAATAATAAACCTGTTAAAAGACACCTCACAACTGGTTACCTTTGATCACTTTTAATAGTTCAGTTCAGTAAACATACCAAAAGTTTTTGTTGGAAGAATTCAAAAAAATCAACTTTTTGAGAGGCTGTTAGTTTACAACTGTAAGCGTTCAATACATATACAATGCCATATGTTCACATTAGAGAAAATGTCTATAATTTAGACTGTACAGCTTTGAGAGTCAAATCACAGAAACTAATTTATCCGAGCTAACGTTAAATTTTATAACTATTTTAACTTAGAATTACTCTCAAAGTTGTTGTTGTCAGTTATTTATTATGTCATCTATTGGTTAACATTGTTTACTTCTTTTTTGTACACTTTCTTGACCTTTTTGTAGTCCCAGAACTTCCTGTTGTTTTGAATATCAATCTATTTCTAAAACATCTTGGATCAAATAATTTACTGCATCTTCAAGATAATCATAAAACCATTTTAATATCAAGTGTGTCAACACTTCTTTATCAATTGAATCGGTTAAATGAAATTCTGCATTCATATTTACTGGATGGTTTACCTTGGTGTAGTATGCTTCTATTGGGGTCATGATTTTGTGTTCTGAAAAATATAAATTTCCTGTATTATGACTATCAATAAATTCATAGCAAAACGTGTTGTACTGGTAATATCGTACAAGAAATGTAAAGAGGTTGGGAAAGAAAGGGAAAAGTGATTTTGATCTTAGTGATCAGTAGAAGAATCCATGACGTGAGTTTCGTTCTAGTATGGGACTCCTCAGCAGTGGGCAACCATGACCTCACCCCGGAGCTATAGTTAAACCTAACTGCTATTCAGTCAGCACGAACATGTGAAATTGGAAGGTGGTAAACCTAAGCGGTACACATTGTTTCATGAAAGTTGAGTCAGGTATCGCAATCACTTTAAGGTCTTAAATAACTTTATCTCAAACAGTTAAAATGTCAAATATGGTACTTTAAATTTATCGGTGGTAGCAGGAGTCCTAAGAGACCATCTGATAACAATTTTGTATGTACTGTGGGCTCTCCTATGCAAAAGACAACCGAGTATTCTGAATCATACTTCCAGCATAAAAATCATCCATTTGAAACACTGAAAAGTTGAATTGGTCAATTTATCAGTAAATGAAATGTCAGATGTGTATTCCTTTAGATTTCACTTTCACTCAACACCCATACCTGGAAATGATATAAATGATACAAATGTAGGATGTTTTCACAAGTATTAGTTTACATTGAAGGGATACATACTTAAGGAGTGTCAGCGTGAAACCTACAGAACATGAAGAAATTTGGAGGATTTATAAGATACTATAGATATGCTTCCGTATGACACAAACCTCATGATAATGCTTCTGACATATGCTATTTTTCGTAATGAATCCACTCAATGGTCTGTCTTATTTACTATAAAACAAATGCATGATATAAACAGAAATTAGTCATTTATTAGATCCCCGCCTTTCAGTTCAATTTACCATATGCGAAATTTCAAGAATATTTCAACTGCTTAACGTAAAGTTAAGACAACAAAAAGAGAATTACATTTTTAAGAGGTTGATTTATTCAAATGTCTTGTCATGCATGTCATACATTAGCGTTAACTGTAGAACCTCTAAAAATCTTAAAATACTGGACAGGTGTTTTGTCTTAGTTTGAGAATTCTTAGAAGTACGCACCCACAACCCAATGAGGGGTAAAACCCATGATCATCATGAAAACTGTTTCAAGTAAAGAAGTTCCTGCAAGCAAACAGTTTAATTACTATTTATTGTTCATTAGTGACTAACGTTGAGATGGATTTCTCGAAGCTCTAGAAAGAATTCTTGGTTGGTAAAGTCAATCATTTCGGAACTGAGTTAGGTGTCCATCGGTAGCATTGGCCATTGGTTGCAATTTGTTACAATTTGATAGAAGTTGACAATACTGAACTATTGGATTTCAGCTAGATGTTAGACTGTGCGGTTCTGAGTTCAATCCCCAACTCCATGAGACTCAGATGAAGATAAAACAACTGTCCATTGCTTTAAGGTATTCAGCGGATCTCCAGCTGATGTCAGTGCATAATATAATCTATTTGTACTTCAAAATCATTTCTCCTACTGAATAGGTTACATTTTTAGTCATGTGAATAGTTTTTCATAAGGTATTCAGTTAATTTTCGAAAATAATCATTTCATATCATCACAATTTTAGCATGTATATCACTGATCATCATATAATAAATTTTGTAATCAACCTAAATTGTTTTTGCTGTCATGAAAACTGGAACATTTTCAAAATGTTTTAGTGATGCGTGTTAAATCTTACTGTCAAATGCATGATTTACAAAATTGACCCCATTTTAATGGGTCAGAAAACAAATTCTTATTGAATGGATTGACTCACGTATGATCTGACACAATTCAGTAATACATGATTCCTCTAGTCATTCATACAACTCCAAGAAGTAAATCAATTTAGTTCAGCTAAGGAAACTATAAAAACTTGTCTATATCGTTTATTTCAAGAACTAACCATCTTAATAGTTGGTTGCACGTAGTCTATCCTTTGAATGAATAGAATTTCTGGCATTGTGTTGAAATTGATGTATATATGTGATAAAATGAATTTTGGTCTCCTGAATCCAATAATGTCAATTCATAGAATGCAAGGAAATAATTTGTCACAGAGACATGGAAAAATGTCGTACAAATTGATGTTCATTTCTGCCTTGGTGGTTTTCATATTAATGTGTAACAGTAAAGTTTCAGCAGTTCATGATAGTAGTGTTCATTTTGATGAGCACTTATTCACGGGTTAGTGTAATGCGTCTTTTTTTTTACCATTTACCTATTGATTGAATCAACAGATAATTTTCATTTTAATCTGCTTTAACGCTTTCATATTTTCATTCAACACCATCCACTTGAGTATGTCATTGCCTATACGTTCACTTGACTGATGATATTTGGTCTTAACCTAGAAAATTGTTACTTTTTTTTCTGTCATTCTCTCCCTAAACATTTCACTAAGATGGTAATTCTAAATCCTGTTTTATGAGTTTTAGAAAATTTATTTTGTTTAAGAGTGACTGTGTTATTCTGGATAGATTAATTACATCACCCTAAATTACATCCCAATAGATGTTTTTGTGAGTATATTAACTGCTTCTCCACTTCCTTTTCCGAAATGCTTTCAAAATGCCACTGGATATGGAAGCACTTTAAAATCTATGCTTTTGTCGTCAATAAACTAAACCTATTGATGAAATCCATTTCAATAGACTGTGAAATGTGCAAACAGTTGCTGTACAAAGTTGACAAATGGTTTAGCTTATTCTCTGGGAGCTTATAAGTGTAACGTTCAGTAGTGATTAAAAAAAAACAACTGAAATAAATTAGGTGTTGGGAGATGTAGAATAAATTACAAATGATCATTTTACATTTATCGTTAAAAAGTTAAAAGTCAAGCACAAGTTTGTACGTGTTGAACTTAAAAAGGTTATAAGGTCAAATGAGTTACTTTCAAAAAAAAACATGTGATACTATGAATTGTCTTCTTATTAAGTTTTCATAATAATAGAGAAATATGTAGTTGAATATAATTTCACCAAAATTTAACTCTGACTTATATTTAATTTTAGCGAGTTTGGAAAATTCGTCAGATGTTATTCATCAACTAACTACAAAACCACCACCTGAACAGTCAAATAAAAATGTACGATTGTCATCCACAGTATTTCCATATTCCTACGATTTACTTCTTCAAGTTCATATCCACTTAAATGAATCCAAAGACTTTTTCTTCAATGGAACTGTGACAATAAATGTTATCAGTACTGTGTCAACCAAAGAATTCTTTGTTCATGCGTACCATAATCTGAATATAAGCTTGGATCAAGTTCGTGTAAGTTATTCACTTCATATTTATTTTCTTAACTCATTTATCTGATATGTGAAACTGGTGACTGATTAATCTATTAATTTAAAAGGAGTTAACTAAACACTTATTCGAATGAAACCCTGTAGTGTTATCAAATTGTGTTTTAAGATTTTGTTTTTACAAAAGATTGAGCTTATTGTAGCAATACTGGATAGGTGAAAACATAAATGTATGGATGCAAGATTCTTATTGTATTACTGTGAACAAGAAATTTATCAAAGAGACTCTTTTTCAACAACCTGTTGGGAAATTTCCATATCACCAATAGATTACTGAAATACTGATAGTAAAGATCACAGCTGTATTAGTATTACAAGTTAAAGACATGGAAGCACACTGGTGGTCATTGGTTACAGAATCAGCTTCAGTCTACAATTATTCCTTTCCTTAACAAATACTGAATCACTGATAATGGTGTCTTATCACACTTCGCGTTTTTCATTAACAAGGAAACCATGTAGAAATAACGCATTTTCCAAGTTGGTATTCATCATGGACTCACATCATTTGGAGGAACATTGGAAACCTAGGAGCACTAGAAAGCTGTTTCGTCCTGGTATAGGACTCCTCAGCAGTGCGCACACATGACCTCACCTCACCAGCGATCGAACCCACTACCTGTAGATTCCGTGGCCAGCACGTTGACATCGAGCCACTGGGTCGGAACCAAATGGTCTATATTACCAATTTCTGTCAGTTCACGACATAGCACGACCATCACCCAAGTCATTGTTGAGTATTTGTCCACACGTCCATCAGGTTTGCCCCACCTGTCACGACTTCTCATTGGAACTTGGGGAATCACCTCTCGAGGCCAGTCACCAATCAGCACTAGATCAATCGAATTTAGGAGCTCATGGGGATTTCGAAATTTTTCAAGTTAGTAGTCATCATGGACTGATATCGCTCCCTGGAGTGCAGAATCATGGGTGCGCACCGCTGAAGGGTTCCATACTGGAACGAAACAGTGCTCCCATGTTCCCAATGTTCCTCCAACTGATGTCAGTCCATGATGAATATCAACTTGAAAAATCTTTAAATCCCCATGAACCCCCAAATTCAAGTAACTCAATTTTGACAGAGTGTTTTAGTGGTATTCTGAGGGACTTCGGTATGAAAAATGCTGGAAAATCAATGAGAAAATAAATTCGAAACATTCTGAAGTCTGTGGGCCTAAATTTCTTTCATGCACATGAATATGAAACTGTTACATTTGTCACGGATGTTATACTATTTCTAATTTGGTTAATGGATCCTCGGTTAACTGAAAGACGATAACTAACTTTCTAAATGGCTTACTCATTAACAAGTATTAGTTGACTGTCGTTTTATTTGATGCTTCGGCCAATGAAGTTTTATTTTCGGCAATTGTTTTGGTGCTCATAACTTCCTGTTGCTATACAAAGCCAAATCACTCTACCTCCGTTGATAAATGGGCTTAGATGCAGATGCCTCGATGCTGCTAGATATTCATGACCATAATATTCATCTCTATGACTTGCGGAGGAGTCTAGGACGCATGTTTCGTCCTATTTGGGGCCAGATAGCTGGATGTAACTGCATCCCATTGAGTGGTGTTTCTCCAACTGAGACTCGAACTTGGTACACATTGCTCCGAACGCTAAAGCGGTATCATCTAGGCCACTGGGACACGTTAGTCACCTTTTGTGCAGCAAGTATCAGTTGTTGTTTTAATATCTGTAATTTCACGTTGCTATACAAGGCTTAATTGCTCTACTTCTGTTGACAGATGAAAGACACGCGCTTTCTGGATTCCACTGCTAGTCCCCAAGATGAATATATCTTTATTTTCGACCTTTTATTTTGCTTTCCGTAAACTTCTACACTCTTTCGATCAATTTAATAGAAGGTTATATCTCTAAACATTTTTAGTTTTTGGATAGGATTTCTTTTAAACCATTTATTTTATGTTTTTGTTATAACTGAGAGAGCAGTGAGGTTGTGGTCTAATGTATACGTGAATTTGCAGTCCCATAGATTATCCTCAAGGTAACTGAATATAAGTAGAAAATTTCATTGATGTTTTCCAGCACAGTGGATTACATTCTTTCAATTCTGTGGAGAACGTTTTTCAGGCTACTCTTCTGTGTTACATTGAGTAAGCCTTCCTCCAAGTTTTAGGTCAGGTAATCTAAATGACTGTGTATTTTTATTCCTGCATAGTTGCTTCAGTATTTGGCGGTGATTCTGCTAACTAATTATTAATGTTGCTTTGATTCAAAGAGGTTGGAAAACATGAATCAGTGTATTTCTGTGAGTTTTAGATGCAGTTTTTCTTCCCTTTGACAGAATTTGACAATTCATAAAGATCTTCGACGGTGAAAATATCAGTTTCTAGACAGAGGAGAGGTAGTGTGAGCAAGTTTTGAAGCTGATTTTTGAAATAGTTTCCTTCCTGTTTTTTAACTAACAATGGATATCATGGGTTACTTAGTGCCTTAAAAAATTTCCTTTTCAGTACAGTCTTACCTTCCACACTCTCTCGAATACTTATCTTTTTATGTGTTCATTCCCTGAATGTTATTTCCTTAATTCTTTCCATTATATACATCCGGCTGGGAAAATGACGATATCGAGATTTATCCAATTAAGCCTTATGCTGGGCACATAAAAGACTGTTGATACTAAATATATTGAATTAGTTTACCACATTATCACTTAAATATATGTTGTTAAAATGAAGCTTATCCAAAATGAACGTCAGTGGTGTTACTCTCACCGGGACCTAACGCTTTATAGGCCAAAGGGTTACCCACTAGACCAATAAGCCACGATTGCCAATTCTTGTTCGACGGGTATAGTACAAGAAAAAAAACACTAGTTATAGTTGTTCCTGGAGTTTTATATGGTTCAACTTATCAACTTAGCATGGGGGCGTTTCTCTGCTTTCTTCTTTTAGATGTTCGCTGTGAATACAGTTGGTGCAGATATTTCTGAGGTTATCATCAAAAATATATCCTACGAAGGCTATGCTGATTGGTATCATGTAACACTTATGGAGCCATTGCAACCTGAAAGGCATTATAAGTTAGTATTTGGACAATTCCACTCGCCTCTTAAATTTGTTCCAAGGGTCTTTATCTGAGCAAATACATGGAGAATGGCACAAACAAGTGAGTTATATTAGGCGTTATATGCCTGTAAATCTCCCTAAGTCTGTGTGAGTAGTTTCTTTCGTCAGAGCCGGAGTATATCTTTAATGTACTGATGACTTTTGCTGTTGTATCTTTCTGGTTCTGTAGTACTTGAGGACTCAGCAACCATGTTTTAAAATAATGTAGGCATTGAAACCTTTCAAATGTATCCAAACGCTCAAGGAAATTATTGAAATATCTCTAAGTGCCCAAAGAAATGAATTTAAGCCGTTAAGGTACGATATTAAAAATTTCTCATTTTTTCCAAATGCTTTACCCGAAACCTAATATTCTTCATAACAATATGTACCGCTGAGGAGCTTAAGTAATTAGGAACCTGTAGATTTTTCCAACCACGTCAGGTCATCCAAACACGGGGTGACAGTTTTGCTTGTTTGTCGCAGGGTTCATCAGTTGTGTACCCGAACAAATTCAGCTCACAAAACTGAATTGTTCAGATCATCTGAATCTGACTAGCTGACTTTCATGGATTAATATATATGAGTAGGATAATCAATTTTCAAATGATTTCCAACCTGCATACTTTGTATTAACATTTCTCACAGCTGAGTAGTTTTACCACTGCTCAGCTGTGGTGTCTGCAGATGAGCCTGAGTAGGTCCTAACTACTCAATTTGTTCAGTAGTGCACTTCATTAGTTCATGATACTTTTATGTTAGAGATCACATGTCTTACTATTGGCTGGTTGGTTTTCTATAAATATCATGTTGAGATCACACTTGGAGAATATAAACGTGGACCGTGGAATTTGTGTATCATTTATTTACAAAGTGTTCATCCTAATCTTCTTCATGTACATTGGGATTTTTCAATCAGGTGTGGACATTAAAGCTGGAGTAACAATAGGAATAATATTTAAATTTACGACCTTTGTTTATGTATATATGAAATACTCATTGGCTGTAAAAGCAGAAGTGCTCCTTAAAAGACACTAGATAGAAGTGACTTTGATCAATAGAAGCTTGGATCGGTTAAGGTGTAACCCAGGCAAGTTATCGTTTGAAATTTTGCTTTTGTAGCTACAAATGTGTATGACGGGAGTGATTTTTGCAGAGACAATACTTTGAAGATTGTCACACTAGCACCGTATACAAGACCTGCAAACGACTGCAATTTTCTTTGGATTACTGCTATTACTGCTGAAAACGCTAGGAAGAATGATAAAAGGAATCCAGTGAAATAGTTCAAGATTTGTACCATCATCTCGTGAAACAACGTATGATCTTGGTTGTACTGTGTTCTCTGAAGTGCGTTGTTTACTCGTGTAGCCTCAATCATCTTTCTAGACGATATCATCAGAACTGATTTCAGTAAGACGGGAGTTGTCAATATCTCTCCGTGGATGATTTAGTAACTTGCCTTGACGAACTGGCTCGTGACTGGTTGTTTTCTTTGATTAATGTATCATTGATTGCATAGATTTTTCTGTTAGCTATTCCTCTGCTTGACCTCTGTACTTTCTGTCGTCTATCATTTTTCTCATTGATTGGTAGATTGGGTCTATGTTTATACATCTGTTGATCACTGACTGACTGACCTGAATACCAAGTTTCCAGAAATTCTCTGGTATTTTTGTATTTCCTCTGTCCAAAATTTCTACATTGTCGAAATGGAATTCATGTCCATAGTTATCCACTTGCATTCAAATGAATGATGAAATGTCATGTGTGATATTTAATGGCCAATTGGTGTTCATGTAGACTAAGACGAACAGGGTGACCACTTTGTCCAATGTAGTGTTGATCACAGTTATTCCAGTTGGTATTTGTAAATGATATTCAGTTTATC